CTGACTTTTGGACTTACCTTAAGGCTGCACCCTGAAACTGATTCCCTTGTCAGTCTCCCTGGCCTGGTGTCATCATTGGCTTTTGTGGCTCAGGATGATGAAAGCTGTAGTCCAAGGCTTTAGGATGGCAGCTGGCAGGACCAAGGAAGCCTGTGTCTGGAATCCTGCCTAATTAAAGTTTAATCCAATGGATCACTTCCTTTCAAACAATCCATACTGAATTTAGCACCAGGTGGTCAGAGTAAACTGGGATTTTTTTTTTCTTATGCTTTTAAAAAATAAAGAAATGAAGTACTTTAGTTTTGTCTACCTGTATAGATTTGTTGTTTTGAAAGGGCGGGACAATATTGGAGGTCTACAAGAATGTAAGAAATTGTGGCTGCTCCAATTCAATAGTTTAGAGTTGTGACATTTGATAACCCTCAGAGTTAAACAAGAACTCTTGGATAAAAGCATGGAAGCCTAACACAGCACAGATGGTGCTCTTTTTAGTGTGAGGGAGTTTCTGCCAGCAAACACCCAACCTGATGCCTCCATGCGCTGGATTTCAGTTGCCAGAATTGCCAGCCAGTAACGGACTTTGTGCCTGATGGCTCAGGATAATGGGAACAAGAGTCCATCGTATCTGGAAGAGAGGGAGGAGGCACGGAAGGTCGCTACGAAACTAGCCAAGTTTGCCAAAATCCCGAAGGGGTTGTTAAAAACACGCCTACCCGAATGATTGAGGACGCCGCCGCGCTGAGGAGGTCTGGGTGCACGCGGATTTGGCAGGAGGCCATATCTTCGAGGGCTGAAGATGATCCCAGATCAGAATTTTCCAGGCAAGAAAACATTTATTGAATGTCTGCCTTTCACGTAGCTACCGTTAAGATCGCGGCAGCTCTCAGCGGGAGTCCGGGTGGGCTGGTGATTGATGAATAAGTGTGGTGGACAATCTACAAAGACATCCGTCTTAAACAGAGGATTCCCACAGGTATGTGCGTGGGTATGATTGTGAGAACTCGGGGCTAGTGAGGGTTAGGAGGCTGTTTTGTAAGGCGACCATCCGCAAACAGTGTCTAAACTCTAACCGCCCTTTTAAACCCTTTTCCGGGAATCGGATCGCGTTAAGGCAGGGCAACCATCAAATCAATTACCCTGGTTTAGTTCTGTGTTTTAAGAGGATATTCTGGATGAGGAGCGAAGATGTCCTTTGTAGCGGCGCGTGCGCTCCTTTTGTGCCTGGCGGGAAGTCCCGAGGAAGACCCTGAAGAAAGGCTGAGATATATTTCCGGCGGGATCCGTCCCCACGCCCTGCTTTGAAGTTTTATAAACATAAATGGTAATCTGAAATTTTATGGGGGTGGGCAGAGGGGAGTTGCACAAGGTACGGTCAGAAAAGTCAAGATGGCGGTCACGGCGTTGCGATCGAAGCCCGCCCTTTTTTATATGCACG